TATTATCATTATTATTAACAACATTATTATTATCATTATTATATTTTCTATTATTATTACTATTATTATTATTATTATTATTATTATTATAATCATCATCATCATTATATTTATTATTACTATTATTATCTTATGGTTATCATTATCATTTTTATTATTATTATTATTATCCTTATTGCTATTATTATTGTTATTATTATTATTATTATTATAATTATTATTATTGTTATTATTATCATTATTATCATTACTATTATTATTATTGCTAACATTATCATCTTTGTTATCATTATTGTCAGTGTAATTATTGTTATTATTATTATAATCATCATCATCATTATATTTATTATTACTATTATTATTATCATCATTATCATTATCAATATCATTGTTATCGTTACCGTTATCAATATCATTATTACTAATTATCTATTATGGTTATCATTATTATTTTTATTATTATTATTATTATCCTTATTGCTATTATTATTGTTATTATTATTATTATTATTATAATTATTATTATTGTTATTATTATCATTATTATCATTACTATTATTATTATTGCTAACATTATCATCTTTGTTATCATTATTGTCAGTGTAATTATTGTTATTATTATTATCATTATCATCATTATTATCATTATTGTCATTATAATTATCATCATTATTTTGTCAATATTATTTTTTCATCATTATCATTGTTGTTGTTATTGCTATTGATATCATTATAATAATTATTATCATTATTTTTTTCATAATTATTTTTATCATGATTTTTATCTATGTCACTATATCATTATCATCATTACCATTATCAATATCATTATTATTATCATTATCATTATTATTAGTAGTAGTAGTAGTAGTATTGTTGTTGTTGTTGTTTGTTAGTTGTTATTATTATCATTATTATTATCATTATTATTGTTGTTATTGTTTTGTAGTCATTATTATTTTATTATTATTATTATTATTATTATTATTATTATCATTATTATTATTATTACTGTTATTATTATTATTATTATTATTATTATTATTATTATTATTACTATTATTATTATTATTATAATTATCATTATTATTATCATTATTATTGCTATTTTTATTATTTCTATTATTATGGCTACTATTATTATCATTATTACTATCATTATCATTATAATTATCATCCTCCTTATCGTTATTATTACCATTATCATTATTATTATCATTGTTGTTATTATCATTATTATTATTATCATTATCATTATTATTATTATTATTATTACTATTATTATTATTATTATTATTATTATTATTATTATTATTATTATCTTCATTATATTTTCATCATTATTATTATTATTATCATTATTATTATTATAATTACTGATATTATAGTCATCATCAACATTATAATTTTCGCCATCATTAAAAACATTGCCATTATCATAATATTTGATATCTTATCTTTTGTTATACTATTGATATTCCCATCATTATCATTATTATAATATCAAATTTCATTATTGTTACTGATTTATTATTATTATTATTGTTATTATTATTATCATTATCATTATTATTACCATATTTTAGTATTATTGTTAGTATTATTATTACTGTCATTATTATAACTATAGATATTACTATTATCATCATCATTAGCATCATAGTATCATCATTCGCATAATTATTATCATTATTATTGTTGTTGTTTATTATTATTAATTCATATTAACATTATTATTTCTGTCACTATCATTATTATCATTGTTACTGTTTTTTTTTTAATAATTACTATCATTATTATTATAATTTTCATTATCATTATCTTTGACATTATCATCATCGTCATCGAAATAATTATTATTATCGTTACCATTATTGTTAAAACTATTCCTATTATTACTATTACCACTAATATTGTTACTGTTTTTATTTTACTTTTATTTTTATCTTTTTCTTGTGATCATCAACAGCATTTCTTCCTTATTACTTCTTATCATTCATATTATCAATATTTCTTATTATTATCATCCTCATTATTATCCTTATTACTATTACCATAATCCTTTTTATTATCCTCATTATCATTATTATGCTCTTTATACCTATCATGTTTATGATGGTGACTATAAATAGTATATTATTACTATTACTATCATCATTATTATTACTTTTCATGCTGCTACTATTTTCATCATTATTACTATTATCATCATTATCAATAAATCTGTCATTGTCTTTAATATTATCAATATTAGTGAAAGTAGCAGTAGTATTATCTCTCCTATCATTATCCTTAATATAGATTATTGTTGCTGCATTTTAAAAGATTATTATCATCATTATCATTATTTCTCTACATTTCTGTTACTATTGTTATAATCATTATTATCATTAGATTATCATTATTATTAATTCGTTTATCATAATCATTATGCTAATTATAATTCTCCTTGTTGTTATTATTATCATTGTTTTATCATTAATATTATCATTGTATTTTTCTTATTATTATTACTATTTTTATCATAATTACTATTATTGTTGTTTTTATCATCGTCATTGTTATTATTATTATCATTGTTACTAACGTTATCATTGTCATTATTTGTTTCACTTTCATTATGATGACTTATTATCATTATTGTTATTATTTTCATTCTTATCATAACATCATTAGTATCATTATCATAACGATTACATATCATAAAAGTTATTACAATTATTATAATTACTATCCTCAATATTGCTATCATTATTATAATTATCATCATTATCTTTATCATTTTCATCACTGTTATTACTATTATTACCTTTACTGTTGTTATTAATAATATCATTATCGTTATTATTATCATTATTATTGTTATTATTATCACCATCGTTATAGTTATTGTTATTATCACGTTGTTATTATTATTAATGTCGTTATTATTATCGTGATTATTAGTATTATTATCATCATTACTGTTTTGTTACAGTCTTTGTTGCTACATTTATATTTTTTTTTATTCTGTTTTTCTCTCTATTATAACAATTGTCATTATCTTAATTATTATTATTTATTATCATTATTACCATTATCATTATTATCATCATTATTATTATTATCATCATTATTGCTATTATTATTATTGTTATCAGTATTAGTATTAGTATTATCATTATCATTATTAGTTGTTAGTATTTCTTATTTCATCATCTCTATCGTCATCGATATCATTATTATTATTTTCATCATTATTGTTTTTATTTCTATTTCCATTACTATACCATTATCATTATCAACATTGTCCATGTCATTACTGACAATCCAAATATAGTTATCATCTATTTCATTAATATTATCGTATCTTTTACAGTGTTATTATAATTGTTATCATTATCATCGCTGTTATTGCTATTGTTATAATCATTATCACTAGTTTTTTATTATTATTATTATTATCACTATCATCATTTAAATTGTTTTTACCATGATCGTGATCACCATCGTGATTTCTCTCCTCATCATTACTATCATCATGATTACAAATACTTTAACCATCATTAACATTTATTCTGGCACTATATTTTCCTCGTTGCAAGTCCAGTGTATCTTACGTAGCCTTACATTTGCCAGCTATTAAACCATGCTGTATTTCGATTCTGTATCGATGCTGTATGATGATTCTTTCATTTATTTCGCTTCTTATCTTTGAAAGACACTAAAATGCAATGCAATTATAGTTTTCGAAGCATAGAATGTGTTAAACAAAAGAACAGTTTTTTGATTGAGTGAAATTAATGCAGCCAGCGCCTACAATGCCAAAATCCAGGCGGCCCTGCTTCCGACCTCCATCGTTGATTATCTCTCTTCATATCTATATTTTCCTTCCTTATCATCAAGACTGTGATAAATATCCTTGCCTTCGAAATAACTGTTGTCTTCTTATCTTTTTTCTTTGATTAGCTCAATGATTATTGTTATTATCATTAACCATATGTCCTTAATATTGTTACCATGACTGACATACACATCGTTTCTATCATAATCATTGTTTATTACTGTTATCATAATTATTGTTATTATTATTGTTATTATTATCATTACTATTATTTCATTATTGTTATTATTATCATTACTATTATTTCATTATTATTATCATTATTATTATTATTATTATCATTATTATTATTATCATTATTACTATTATTATTACTATTTTTTTTTTTTTTGTTATTATTACCATTATTTTATTATTATTATCATTATCATTATTATTATTATTATTATTATTATTATTATTATTATTATTATTATTATTATTATTATTATTATTATCATTATTATTATTATTATTATTGTGATCACTATTATTATCATTATTACTATTATCACAACTATCATTATCACTTTCATCTGTCATTGCTATCATTATCATTGTGATCATTTAAAATATTATTGCTGTTATTTTTATGATGATGATGGTGATGATGATGGTGATAATACTGTTATTATTATTACTATCATTCTCACCATCATTCTTACATACTATCATCATTATCTTTATCACTACTATCATTCTTATCATTATTACTATTATTGCCGTTCTCACAAAAAGGGGTCCACTTTAGCGAAAAAAAAAACTCTTCCTGTATATTATATACTTGGGCATTTTTTCTTAAAGAATTGTTATTTATGGGCAATTATATTGCAAAATCTGAATCAAATCTAGTTACGAAAACTTCCCATTCCCATAATTAACAAAACCGCTGCAAAAAAAATGAAAAGAAAAAAAAATGTATTACTTAACTTGACTAAAGAAAACGCCAATTTCGTATACAGAGACTTTGCCTCATTGCTTTCCAGGAAGGACAAAATATATAAAGAAAACAATGTTAGGACTGAGTTATCGGCTTAACACAGTAACATTTTGGAATGGGATATAAGGAATATTACTGAAGGGTTGTTTAGAGTTAATGATGCCTATGATAGAATGAATAAAAAGGCCAATGTCACTG